ATTAATATGTGCATCTCTAACTTCATTTGTGGTTTTATAAGCAATGATAAGCTTATCCCATATTTCTCTTGTAGTTTTAAGTATATATATTCTCATATAATCTTTAGGCTTAATTGCACAAAATAAAATATTTATTGCATTTATCTTGTAGTTTTAAGTATATATGTTCTCATATAGTCATTAGGCTTAAATGCATAAATTAAAATATTTATTGCATTTGCATTAAGTTGATGAAGTTTTGATTTGACATGAGTCCAATTATGAACATATTTTTTTACTTTAATGTTGTTTATCTCTATGGTGGTGCATGATATTATTGTGAAAGTATATATATATATATATATGTATATATGTATGTATATATATATATATATATACATACATATATATACATATATATATATACTTATTCAGTTATCTCACTATGCAGATTATACTCTTATTTTTTCTCGAAAGGTAATTAAAATTGACAACCGTGAAAATTCTGAAGTGGGCTGTCGACTTTGATCCAGAAGAGGAGTCCCCTATCATTCCTGTTTTGATAAAGTTTTCGGGGTTAAAACTACACGTATTCAACTTGGAAATTCTCTACTCCTTAGCAACTGCTTACGGTAAGCCTACGTTTGATAGTCCTCGTTTTCTCTCACCAGATCCTCTGTGACTTGTGTGTTAGTTGAGAGAGATATTACCCAACCAGCTCCGGATGAGGTATGAATCAGATCCAATCACGTTGGGTATTGATAAAAGGTTGAAATAGAATTACACCCTCCATATTGCTCTCATGGTAGTATGTTTGGCCACAGCTCTACTACTTGTTATCGTTTGCATCCTCACTTAAGGTCGGATATTGCTAAAGTTCAACAACCTGTTCAAAAATCTATTCATGCTGAATTGGGGGTGGACGTTTTGCCACCTACCATCTCTGCTGAGGAGGTGCAACCTGACCCTCTTTCCAACACTTTACATACATCTGCTCATCTCCCTGACGCTTTTCCTGATGGGAAAATTTCTGATGATTCTCCTATTCTAACCTTGGTTGTCTCAGATAAAGAATACCATACCATACCCAAGCTCCAAGCTGTTCTACCCCTGGATGCTCCTGCTCTTGAACACTCTACTCCAGCCGTTGGTTTGGAGATAGTACTAGGGCGTCATAACAGACTACACCTGCCCTAGAACCTATTACTGATGTTACTGGTGGCAATCTTACTACTACTTCTCTACCGCCTCACTAGGTCGAGCAAGATGTTAATGTTACTCAAGCACATGAGGTTCATGATGTGCAAGAGCCTGCACCTGTTCGGCCATCCACTGTTCACATAAGTCAATCCTCGGACGAGGAATGACAGATTTACACATCTAGAAGGAAGAAAAATAAAGACCTACTTGAGCTCAAGAATCTGATGGATGATACTTTGGTTATTTCGAGTAATGATACGCACCTCACAAATTTGTTAGTCGGCTCCCTTCCGAGAACTCGAGGCATAGGCAGGACTAAACTGAGTCGTCCCTAGCTTTTTGTTCGCATTGGTGGTTTTTTGTTTTTTTATTTTAAATGTATCTTTTTGTTTATTTTGGATTTTGTGTGTGTTGTATCGTGTGGGTTGTGTGCCTTCTTTTAGGCCCACTCATACAACTTATCTGTATCTTTCCTGTTTCATATATTGCCCTTGGGCTTTTTCAAAAAATAAATAAATAAATAAATATACACACACACACACACGTATATATATATATCACATTTTTTTTGACAATGCAAGAAATGTTCATCCTATTTTTCCAATAGTCCAATGATACATTATCTAAAAGTGGTGGCTTGTGATTGGATTTGCCTTCGGCTCAAGAACCACCACTAGAAAAATTGTGCATCATAAGTAATCTACTGTTAAGTGGTTAAACTAATATTAAGAGCCTTCGTTCTGATACTAATTGAAGGTTAGCTCACACAAAGAGAATGAATGGTGAATTGGTGCATTAAAAATTTTAATTTTCACTTATAATTAAAAGTCATCTTTCTTTTAAACATTTTATCCATTATTTAACTAATAACCTTCATGTAATGAAAATTAGGAAGGAGTTTGGATAGTCATCTTTAACTGTAAGTAGCGCCATTGCTTTAACCCAATTATCAGGAAAAAAAGGTATTGATTGACTCAATCTAAAACTATGATTTGCTTTGCTACATGAAATTTGAGATGTTTAAAATGGAAAATAAAATACTTGATTTACACAATAAGTAAAAATAAATAAATATTGTTTGTGTGCAAGAATAAAATTGAAAGGGGAAAATTCAACGACATTATGAAATGTAAGTTCATATATATTGAAAAGTTGGCAATAGGAATGAATGCGGGGTCATAGTGGATAATAAGTTAAAAGATAAAATTGTTGTGGCAAATAAGATGAGGGAGTCGTTAATTGCTATAAAAAATAATTATTTGCACGACAGTTGAATGTGGTTAGTGCTTACGCTCATTAAGTTGGATTAAAAATAATTTAAAAAATTGTTCAAGTATATAATTTCTGGGAAGTTAGAAGAACACCATCCACAATGAGAAAAATGTTTGAACTATTATAATATATATCTGAGAAAGATAGAATTTTTACTAGAGGTGAGAATTGACATACAAGTTAAAAGTAGAATGGATTTTGAGAAGTCGTTTTTTCTAGCATTTTTTTTATATCTTGTGATAACGAACATACTCTAAGGTGTTAGAGCACTTTAATTATTTATATTTTTTATTTATTATTGAGATGTTAGATCACTTGATTAATTATTAAAATGCAGTTACCAAATCACAAACAAACTTTATTTTATTTTTAATATGAAGGAATGATTTTTTTTTTTTGTTTTGCTATAGTTGTAAGGCTGTTTTTTGGAAAAATTTGATCACATAATATAGTGATGTAGTGCCACACTTTTTGGCTTGTTTTCACAATTGGCATGTTATTTACTGCATGATTTGGACATATCACACCTTTTTTATTCGGTCTCGTGATAACCTATTTTTTTAATTAATTACTTGTACATTCAAAAGGAGGGCTGGGACTGCAGTGAAGTGGATGGAAAATGCGGTCTTGGGTTGAGGCAGCAAGCGAGATGGACAGCAGCAGCGAAGGGGAGGAGTTGTGGCAGTGGTAGAAAGCTGAAATGACAGGGAGGGCCGGACAGCTGGAACAGTAGAAGACAACCGAGAACTGTTGTTTCCAGGTGGTAGCAGCGAGCGGTATTGAAAGCTGCAGTGAGCGGGAATGATGGTGGCAGTGATGGGGATTGCGTGGGACTGCAGGACAACCAATAAAAGGCAATTCCCGGGGATGCCATAGCAATGAACTGCAGGAAGAGTAGCAACGGCGGCTGTTCGGGGGCGGTTGCAACAGGGGGGGGGTGGTCGAGAGCAACATGCGAAGGATTTGGAAGGTCATATGGAAGATAATCACCAGCTTGGGAGAGATACAGTTGGAGCACCACTCAAACCTTCAGATACAACACTTGATGGGAGAAAATGGATGCTGGTGACTGTCTCTAAATAAACTCATGCAAGAATTAAACCTAAAACATCAAAAAAGAAAAATATATAATAAGAGGATGGCAAGGAATGGCCTAGGAGGGTCGGCCGACTCCATCACAATAAAATAATCTAGACTGGTTTGGTCCAAGCACAAAAACTAAGCCCACCTGGTCGCAGGACCACAACATATCGCGGAAACAGGGATTTATACTTTAGCAAGTAGCTCCCGCGGCAATTATATTTTGATCTGCAAAAGTATGGTGGAGTTTGATCTAAAGATGTATAAAAATAAAGCTTTAGATATAAGATACTAATTAGAGTTTGGATGGTTATGCATGATATTGTTATGCTTTTGTTGATTGTGTTTTCTTGGGATATCAAATGAATTGAAAAATCAATGTTTCTAGCATCAACAACAACAACAACAAAGCCTTAATATTACTACGTAGGGTCGGCTACATGAATCCTTTTTTCTCCATTGTGTCCTATGATGCATTTATTAGGTAAAAGGTCGATGCGGGCTTTTGTCCTTTGCCCTAATGATTTATGATAACTCGTCGGATCGCATGACCCTTGTGCCGGCTACACATCATTTGAATATCTACCCTATCAACTTCCGATGGTAGGATGTGGGCCCACCATGGTGGTGACGGGTGACGGAGAATTAGGGTTCGATTCCGGAGAGGGAGCCTGAGAGACGGCTACCACATCCAAGGAAGGCAGCATGCGGGCAAATTACTCAATCCTGACACAGGGAGGTAGTGACAATGAATAATGTTTCTAGCATCAATATTTAAAAATACTGGAGATGCTCAAGATTTTACTAGTTGTACAATAATCAAACTTACGATTCAAACGTTGAAGCTATGGGGTAGAGTAAACCTATATGGACTTAAAAAAATTATATCAGATTTAGAGAATCGGTCTGTTTTTATGGGAAGATTTGAAAGTGTTTTTTTTTTGTTAATAAATTAATGCAGAAGTATAGATAAGCTTTTATTGGTCTTGGAAAGACATCATTGGGTATTATGATGATTAAGTTGGTGCACGTTAAGGAAGCTTGATAGCGCCCTAAGTAGGATTGGAAGTAGTTATGGAGTGGTTTAAGAGTTTCAAAATATAATAGAATTATGTCAAACAAAAATCACTATTAAATCCATTTAATTTTTCTATTGGTTATGGAGATGTATATTAAGGATATTTGAAGTCAAGTATGTTTGTGTATGTTTTTTTGCATATATAATAATTCTCAATTGGCGAGAAACATCTACTAGCGTGTAAGTCATTAATCATTTGATTTCTATACGGCTGATGTAAGGCTTTTTTTGTGGAGAAATTTCTATGTTATCATGATTTTTGAATCCTTGGTTTTCATTAAAAAATCTCTTTTAATTTTCGCTCGCAATTCAGGTTTTGGTGACCTGCTTTATATAATGGTTCGTGGTTCCCAGTTTGTTTTCTAAATTTTCTCTCATTAATTTCACTCAGGACAGTACTGCTGAGAATCAGTGGAAAGATATGGGCACAGGCCACCTCTCCATCAAATGCAAAGAGGGTTCCCCGAAGGCAACAAAAGACTCCAAACCAACCATTATTGTTCGGAATGATGTATGTGCTTTATATTTCTTGCTGGGGAAAAAATGCCACCATTTTAACTTTTAAAAATTGAGATAAACCTTTTACATGCATAGATAAGATAGTATGTATGTAAAAATTGAAGTTTAGGTGTTAGACATGTAAATACATAAGAATCGACTGGTATGTATGTAAATCTTCCTTTTTGTGTTTTAATAACTAGGAAAAAGCCTCTCTTTTGATTTCCAATTACTTGGTTACAGGTTGGAAGAATTTTACTCAACGCTCTCATATATCCTGGCATTAAAGTGAACATTCAAAAGACATCCATTGTCACAATCTTTCACACTGCTGTAAGTATCCTATCTTTCATTTAAACCTGCCCTGCTGAGTAGTATTACTACTACTGTTACTATTATTATTATTTATTATTTTTTAGGGTTTTTTATTTTATTTTTG